TACTTCCAATATCTACTTTTTCATAGCAATAAATTGGTAACATTTTGGTGTGACTCTATGTGTTATAAGAGGTGCCTTTGTCTTATTCTTACCTATATCTTAAAATCCTGCTAGTAGGAAACTCAGATTCTCTCAATCTGATAATTACTATCTCTTCACCAAAACCAAATTCCCTTTATGATTATCTCCTAAACACTTTCTTGACTAAAAACCCTCAACCTAATCTCTCAGTAAACCTCCCAAATATCTGATTAAATCTAATCATATGTATGACTCTTTAGAGAAGATGGCTTGAGTAAGAACTATAGAGAAGTCACTCACGGATTAAGGAATCACTTAGAATAACTTTCATAAGGTTCACAATCTCATTATGAAGAGAAAAAGAGCAAGTATAAGCATTTTGGAGAATACAGGTGTTAAACAAAGCCAAATAAGTTGCCAGTGATTGAAAGAAGTAAGAGAGAGAGGTGGGATGAGAAGGAGAGAGCGTTCCTATGCTTTCATCTGTCTCTTCTATCTCCTTTGTTCATTGAATTTTAGCTTTTCAATTTTCTTTCAATGAGAGCGTTCCTTCGTGCCTTGCAGTGATATATCAAGATTTTGGAGTTTCCTTTTTTAATAAGTATGGTTAAGGGGCCTTTAGTGAAATTTTCTCATTTAATTAACTTCACACTTATAAAAAAAATGCTTCACTTAAAAAATATAAAGCATTTTTAATTGAATTAAACTTCTAATAAATTAGTTAATTATATTTAACTAATATCATCTTTTTATATTTGCCTATATTTAATAGAATGTTTCAATTAAAGATGAAGAATTGAGTGGCTTATTCATTGAGGGTAATTTTGCACAAAAAAAATATTAATTATATATTGAAAAATAAAAAATATTTTATATTTTTTAACATTCAATCTCAACAAAGATGTTCATATTTTTGAACGGACGAAGTAATAATTACTCTATCCTATTCAAAATATAAATAGTTTTTAACAATAGTTCGTGTACCAATAAAATATCTATTCTCATAAAAATATGCACTATTTTAATTCTATTTTTAAAGCAGAGAGAGAAAGTATTTGCTTAAGTACTATTTATAGGACACCTCAATTATTACTGTATTCATCTTTATCTTTTTGCCTCTATTACATGTTGAAAATGTTATTGAATGCTAGAGTACTTTGTTTTCAAAATATGCATATTTAATAGGGATAAAATTAATAACTTGTTAAATTTTTAGATAGAGTTAATGGGATTTAAGATTTTTTTTAATTCAGGTAAAAATATTATAAGTGACTTATAAATAAGGTTAGAAAAAGCATTGTTTTTTGTTTTTTGCTCTTAATATCAATGACCAATAATAAGTGAGAAGAATGTCATAAATTCATTAAAAAAAAGCTAGGTTAATAAACGCGATGAGTAAAACCAAAAAATTTCTACAACTACTAAGTTATTTATAGTTTGGATCAATATTAGTTAGAAGAAAAGGCTTTATATGTTGGACCGGAATAAGTATATCTAAAAAATTGTTTTAAAAAATTATGTAACTTTTTAAAATTTTGCCCTTCTTTGTCATTAATAATCATAATAATCCCTCTGTTTTTTAACATTACAAGAAAAAAATAACCAACTTAAATATTTTAAAAAAGTTAGTTGAGTATATAATAATTATATTTAAAATTTAAAAATTCCAATTAAATTATTCTTATAATTAATAAAATAAATTTATCTTGTAAAATTAAATATTAACTAAATCTCTCTCTAGGGAATCAAACAATAATAAATAAATAATAGATGGCGATGGAGTTGCTCAATAAAGTTAATGGTTTTCTGCATGGAGGAGAGAAAAAAGAGTCATGCATTGAGGGAAAGCACGTTATAAGAGGGGGGGGGGGGATTAAAGGTTAAAGTTATATTTTTACCCCTTAAGTTTTTCTCATGGAGCAATTTATCTCTATATTGATAAATAAAGTAATTTTATTTTTAAATTATTTTTTTAAGAAGCGTTAAGCATCTTATAAAAGAATTTTTTTTACAACTTAAAAAATAGTTTGGGGATAAAATTACCCCACTTATGAGTACAAGGATAAAATTGCTTCTCAAAAAAAATTTAAAGATAAAAATATACTTTAATCCAAAATTAAAAGACACATGCACTGGCTTGTGAGTCTTAAGAAGCTTTTAAAGGTGAGGTAGTTTTGACAAATTTATGAGAATATGAGTAACATTGCTCTACTTAATAGCTTAGGGTATTTAGTGTTCTTGAGCAAATACATTAGAGGTAAAAATGTGTATTTATCCTAATGTTTAACTATATTTTAATATCTTTTTTCTTGTTTATAAGGAGAGAGTGATTTCTTAATCTTATTTATAAGTTATATCATCAAATTTTTGCCACAAGTTTTCTCTTTTACGTCATTAAATTAAGCAAGAAAAAAGCATGCTATTAAAGTTAGGGTTGCATAAAAAAGAACTGGACAAGACTAAACTTTAGTCTAACATGAAATGTGATCTCTTTTATAAAAAAATTGGGCTAAGCAACCCATAGTTTGGTCTGATGCAATTACAACCAGAAGATAATTAGCATTAGATTTGATCTATATGATTAGGGGACTAGTTTTGATAATCCAATACTCACTTAACTTTTTTTTCCTCTATGAGAGACAACAATTTATTTCATCTTGATAAACTCAATTAAAATAATAGAAATACTTATAATCATAGAAATACATAATAATCTCCAACAGCCACAACATTCAACATTTTTAATCTACATTATAGCAACAATTTAGCAACATACTAAATTAAAATTATATTACATAGAATGGTGAAATATGAACGAAGGAAAAGCTACTGCATTCAAATTTTAAATTATTCAAAGCATTAAAATAATTTTAAAGGATTAGATCGAATCAAGTGATCTGGAAGTTTGGTCTCCTATCTAATCCAATTTGAGAAGCAGTCTCTTTGTTCTATTTAGTCATTTGGAGTGATTTTTTTTTTACCAGACCAAATTGAATTAGGTTTGTTTGGGTTGGACTGGATTGGACAGGACAATCAAACTTTTGCATAGTCCTAATTAAAATATTTATATCAAATAAGAACAAAGTTAAAAGCTCATTAAAATTTTCAAGGTGCAATTAATTTTTTTTAAAAAATCCTTAATTAAGGATGTAATTAATAAAGTTTTATAATTAAGACATTCTATTAAATAAGGATAAACATAAAATAAGTATGTAAGACTTAGTTTAAAATGTCTTATAATACTAAATGGAGGGAATAACAGTTTAATGATGTGACTTATAAATAGAAAAAAAAATTTCTCTCTCTACCTTAAAAAATAAGACGTGATGAGTTATACTCTTTTTAGTCTCTATTATAAAACATTTCTAACCACCTCACCAGAGTTAAAAAAAATGATTAAGTCATCAATTTTGTCTAAAAAAATAACAAACTTCCAGTTTTAGCCATATTTAAATTTAAAAAAATAAATTTGCATTGATTCTCTCTTATAACTAATAAATCTAAATAAGGACAATATTAAAAAAATATAATTAATATCTTACCAAAGAGCCTTATATCAAAGGCCGTAATTATCATTTAAAAAGCACTTCATTCGAACCACAATATAAGATGCTCCCTCCGTCCCAAATTATAGGACACATTTAAATAAAATTTTACATACCAATAAAATTTATTAAATACACTTTACAACCTTATTTTTTCAAGATAAAAATATAAACTTTTAAAAATGCCTTTCATTTGATACTCCATTGATAAAAGAATATTGAAGAGAGAGAATATATGAAAATGATAATATTTAAAAAGCATCATTAATGAAACCTTATTTTTATCAAAATTTTTTATATTTTGGGACACTGAATCTTTCCTAAAAGTATTTTATAATTTGAAACGAAGGGAATATTTTTTAAAAATCTTGCTTAGTCTAAAATATAAGGCATTTTGTAACTTTTATAATTATTTTTTTAACTATACCCCCACCTTATTTATTACTCTTTTTTAAAAAATAATACATTAGAATTTTAGTTATTGTTATCAAAACTCTTATATAAGGTATTTAACGAGAGTATAATTAAAAAGATATAAATTTTTTAAGAAATTAAAATTTTAATTAATATTTTTTGACAACTGTAAATTAGTTATTGATGTTTTATAGTTTGATTTGGAAAAGGTACCTCATAATAAATACAAGAGAGAGTGTAAAATCGTGAGGAAAGGTGATGAAAGGCTTATCAGAATGACACTCAAACTAAAGTTTTAGTGGTCCAAACCTCAGTTTAGATGTAAAATAAAAAATAAAAATAAAAAACCTCATGGAGCTTGCTTGGCTTATAAAAGTTTGAAAAGAGCTTTTGACTGAAAACCGAAGTTAGACGACGAGCTGGTGACTGTGGCTTTTAAATATATGTTGTACTAATGATGTTAGTAATTAAGAATATTTTACCTTTGACAGATGAGATAACACTCACCATGATAAATATACTGACATATAATTAACGTCGTTAATTTTTGTGCTGAGGTGTAATTATGTTTCAACAAATTAAAATCTAAAACATGAAATAGAACATGCTAAACAATGCTGTTAATTTACTAAATTATAATTCCACTCAACACAAATTAACAGCATTAGGTACATGTCAATATATGTAACATTCTCAGGACAACCTTATCATCCTTTTAGGTATATTCAAAAATAGGAAGATTATATTACAAATGAGATAAACTACATGGATTTAGGGAAATGAAAAAAAAAAAATATATATATATATATATATAAACCTATACCAAAACATATTTAAATCATAGGGACCAATATTTATGTTTTTTTAAAAATAATCAACTCACATAGCTTAAGAAAATTGGTTAAGTATAATGATTATATTTGAAAATAAAAAATACACTACCTTTTTTCTTGTGTGTTTTTCTTAAAATTCCCTTGAAATGCACACTATCTACACTTACTTCGGGAATGAAGAGAATCCAAAGGCGAAGTGGTAAGATCTATCTCTATCTCATCTCATGTTTTCACCTCGCTGTCCACATGGATTCAGAGGTAAAAAAGGTAACAGGTGTCAACTGTACATCAATATATTTATGAGCAGAGTTATTTATTTATCAATTCTAAGATTGTTACACAGATGACCAAGCTCAGGTCTTGCGTCCATCCACGCGGCAAATTCCATTTCGTCAGGAGAGGTGCAGTAGAGATAGGATCTAAATGTAATGAGGAAAAAGTAGCGCCTACAAAATGAGAGGAAACAGAAAATTGGTTACAAAATAAAACAAACGGCCTTGATGCTAAAATGCTAACAGGAAAAGAGAGGTAGAAATTTTACCTCAAAGCCTTGATGCCCATGTCCATAAGATACGCACGTTCCTCATCATCAACATCAGTCAACTTCTCAAATTTATTACTGTAATAAAGAATATCATCTCGTAGATGTCCTGCTCCTGCACATCTATTTAGCAAAAGAAACAGGCTCAGAGCCTTAAATTTATTCTTCCCTCGGTGAATTACAAAAAGCTCAACAGATTTTGTTGACATGAAATCTTTCTTCTATTTTCAGAACATACACAGACCTCTCTTTGTTTTTTCAAAAAAGACTACTTTACACTCTTGTCCACTTTAAATTTTGCTGCCAAAATACCCTTCAATAAATTTAGTTAAAAAAATATGTATTTAGTTTTTTTTTTTTTTTGGATCTAACAGGGTGTAGTTTGATAAACAAATTTAATTCAGACTAGAGGAAGATATATTTTGTGTCAAAGAAATGTGTATATTTTAAAAACAGAAGAAAAGTCTATATCATTCTTTTTAACAAAAATAGAGATAGTAATAGCTTCAGCTATGTTGCCACATCAGAATACATGCAGAAAACCATTAATTTCAGAATGACTCAAGTTAGAACAATTGCAGCGTAGGAATTATTATATCAGTCCAAGCCCCACCCCCAACCCCATCCAAAAAAAAAAAAAAAAAGGCATTTACTTTATCTGCTTTGCTGTCAAAGAAGGTTATGGCATATAGTAAAAGCAGGTACACAAGCCTAAGTTGTTCACCTTTCAATAACAATGTCCACGTCCGCTTTGCTTTGAGGGCCATGTATGAGGACTCTTGTAAGGTTCAGTATGTCCCTGTAGTCACCCATCCTGAGTGCTTCTTCGTTAGAGGCTCGAGAGATCATATTGTCTTCAGACACTGGGGATATAGCCAGCCCAAGCAATGGATGCGGACTTTTAGATGCATAGTTTGCCTCTGCACCAATTTTAATACACATAATGGCCATTGCAAATGCAACTCCACCAAAACCTGTGTGTGATAAGAAAAGGTAACTTGCTGCAGAGCTGGTGAAAAGAAAAAAAATTAGAATATAGCATTTCCTATAAAGAAAAAATAACTCAAACACAGTATTATTGGTTAGACCCGCACAAAAGTACCTTTTAGAAAGCTTGCACACATAAAATGTAACACAAGGTACTAGGTACATATATTTTAACATCCGCAGGCTACTTGACACAAAAAAGGCTGGATAACTCCCAAGAGATGAAACGTAATAAACTGCCCAGGCACTTACTCATCTTTGCAGTACTGGATTGCATCGATATCAGAGGCCAACGCATCTCTCTCTCTTGCTAGTGGTATCCTCCGATAAACAATGTCGTATCCCTCATCTGTCAGGGCAGAATAAACTTCTGCAGGTGTCCTCACATCATCTGCGAAAATGTTTTCCCAGTATCCGACAACACCAGACTGATTTTTTGAAGGGTTGTATTCTTCACGATGCAGTAGAATTCTTCCACCTGACTTCCGAACCTCAGCAAGTATATCTTCTTTTAGTCGTGCCTCCATGTGTTCCACCTGCATCACCGTTACCATGAGTTGTGTAACAAAGAATTTTGTTATGTGTTCCACGAGACATGTTATTGTATAAGACGACATACCACAGGACCAGTGATGCCCGCATGCTTGAGTGTATCAACAGGCTTGTTTAACTCCCTCAGGACAAAAGGAGACCCATTGATATAAACAACTGCTTCCTCTCTCAGATCAGTCAATATAACTTTCTGAGCAACTGTGGTGTCTACTTTTGGCTTAGCTCCTAAATACGCTAGCATCTCCTTGGCACCAGTGATAGTTGGAGTTGCCATGCTATACACAGGGTATTCATCAACCTGAAAAATAGAAGATTTCGCATAATGGCATTTCACAAAATTATTTTTCCAGTAATAATAACGTGAAATTTCTAGCAACCAATATACTAGACCTAGGTACACTTTACATTAAGCCAATCAAAGAAGCAACTACATTAACAATGGGATTGCCTGACTGTATTGCATGTCTTTCTTCTCCTAGTTAGTTTCTCTAACAGTGATGTCTTACTAAGCCTTTATGAATGAAGCGAGACTGCTATGAGGGATTTAGTCATGTCTTGTGCTTTTTCCCAACCAATAGTGACCAAATAGACATATAACAGATTAAGCGTCTTCAACAAGATCATCGGGTTGAAGGTAAATCATCCAACATGCAATATAATCGGTTCTTCTGAAGTCTAAACTAGTCCTTTTAGCTCATATAATGTTACATCACTGTTTACGGTCATCATCTTGATAGATAAGTTTGATTAAAATAACTATACATTTTGGAAGTTTTGGTCATTTTTACAAATAACCTTGCTCACTTGGAATCTTATCATCTTATTAATTCTTAAAACATGGTCACAGGCATTATCTACAACTTATATGTTACACTAATGAAGCATTTCACAACCTATAGATACCAAAAGATTAATGTTAACCACATAGACCAAGTCAAATTAAATCCAAGAGACTGTTAAGACTGAATTACAACAAAAGTAACAATAAGAAAAAAGTTATGGGGACTGACCACACAGACAACCAGGCTGCTTCGCCTTTCAGCAAGTTGCACTGGTTAACCAAACATGAAACACCTCCTAATTGTTGCACCTAATAAATCCAATTCCTATTTTAGATATTATAATAACACTACGAATAAGCCTTCACTTGAAAATTTAATCTTTCAGGTTCAAATGGTCCTCGATCTGACATCAGAAACTCTATAAACAGGTGGTCAAAAGTTGTTTCTACGTGGCCTGCCATCTCCTAATAGATAAAGGTACACCACATAATATGGTAAATGGTCCATGCCATCCTATATAGCATCCAGGCAAAGCTACCGCCTGTGATGATGAAAGACTCAAATAAAAAGAGCACATGCCCTTTTCACTTTTTTGGGATAACAAATAAAAAATAACTCAAAAAATCTCTTCTTCAATGTTTCGTCTTCTCTTTTTCTTGCATCCATATATTTAACATTCTAAGACAATTGAATGAATTGAAAAGACTTAATAAATTCAAGATAATTAAACTTATTATTTACATTTACACAAGTTCTAGAATCAAAAGGAAATTAAAGGAGATGGAGTATTAAATTGCCCCATTAGAAGACAACAAACAACTAAATCGATTTTGCAAGGCTAATCATGCTGACAACTATTTTCATCAAATAAACATGTCGAAGATGCCAATTCTACCTAAACTTGGATGATCCTGTAGGCCCCCACTGGATGTGTAGCATTACTGTCTGGCAGCACAAATTTGATGATAGTTAGTTCTTTTGCAGTACATATATATATGCAAGCATACCTTGTAGACATGAGGTGCACCATGTATTTGCATGTGGCTGGAAGTTCTCTGACCCGGAAAGAAATACATTTTTAGTATGGAGCCCTTTCCCAGAACGGAACCATTTCGAGTCTTGACAACTTCCTCCATCACCATATCTCCATGCTGAGACTCCTCAGGTGCTCTCAATTCTTCCTGCATTCAAATTGAGCAATCCTACCTTTAGTGTTTTTTTAACCTTTTGGGAGGATGGAGGATAATAGATAAACAGATAGAAAGGATTTACAGGGACACTGAAAAATCGTCCTGGTCTCAATCTGATGCTCCATTTCATGGCCTGCACCTCTGGCCTCTGATGCAACCAATTCTTAAATGTAAATTTTAAGTCTCCTTGTCCACAAAATCCATCAAATGCTTCACTTCCAAGATATGCTGCAAATGCAATTAGACGGAAATACCGCTCCAAATACTCAGCACCACGGTTCAAAGCCACTCTCCTCACTCTAGGTTCAACATGCTGTTGATTAAAAATTTTTCTATATTGCAGAACAGCTTGGCGTATGTTTTGAAGTGCAGAACATCTATCAATAACAGCATCTAAAGCCTCTCGGCACTCCATCCCATTATCAAATAAAGTTGTTATCTTCCATAACAAGAGGATGTCATTTATGCCAAAAGCATCGTTACGTTTCCCATCTGTTTTTATTTGCAAAGTATTAGAGGCTAACACAATAGCATTACCCCCAGTTTCATCTCCACTGGAGAAATCACCATCCGCTTCATGTGTCACATCAACCAGGATTTTGATAGGCCTCCCATGATCAATTCGAAGCTTTACAAGACAAGCTATGACAGTGCCAGTGGTTGTTCTGCCTCTGCCCATCTGAGTTTGATGAGAAATTAGCAGCAAATTATGAAAATGAAATGAAGAGGATTAAGAAAAACGCATTACTAAAATACAAATTGAGCATAGAGGGTACAGCTTATGGAATAAAGGAATAAAAAGTTACCTGACAATTGAAAACAAAGACAGTGTCCTTTGAAGCAGAAGCAATATTAGCAGCAATTGTATCAAAGTCAGAACTTTTGGGAGCTTTTCCATCAGTAATGGGCACACGAGCATACTTAATGGGAAATCCATCAGCCTCCAAGCTTTTAAAAACTTCAAGAGGGGTTTGAATTGAGTCAGGGGTGACATGTTCCCAAGCATCAAATATCTCCCCTTTACCTGTTTCATGAATTACCAGTATGGCATTTCCATACTTGTCCGCTTCCCTTAGAATGTCTTCTTTTAACCGAGCTTCCATTTTCTCAACTCGTTCACGGCCAATTCCCTGAAAGTTAAAAGATGTTGGAATCACCAACATTTGCACAGGATAATTGGGGATAAAATTTGCAGAACTTGTCATGGAATTTAAAAAGGCATCTCAAATTAAACATATTGGATATGCTACATGTAGATTTTAAAAAAACAGTACCATGCACCTAAAAAGGTTAAGGATTATCCCTGAAAGTTAAGACCTGTATTACTATTAGGGACAGAAGCCAAGTAGACATTATATGACCATTCACTGTCATCTGTAAAAAGCAGCATTTCATAAACTAGAAATCTCCATGTCTGTGGCATTCCAGAAGAGGATTCATATTCCCTATAATGCTATAATAAATATTAACTCACAACACTCCCTAAGTAAATGCCATTCCTAATAAGACCACTAATGGTATTATCAGCCAACTACAAGGAGAATTTATATATAGCTCTTAACTTCTGACCCAAAAAAAAAAAAAAGATATATAGTTCTCACTAACATGTAAGGCGAAATCCACACATTAAACATCAAAATAGCATCCAGTGTTGCCAGATGGAAAAGCAGAAAATTCAACATCTATGGCATCCAAGTCAAATCTGCACTAGAAACTATCCCCTAACTCAGCTTTATTTCGGGGGAAAAAAACATGTCAAAGTAATTCTCACCGTGTACTCTAGCATATTCTTGTACGGTCTTTCAACCTCACGGAGAACAAATGGCTTTCCATTGATGTAAATAACAGGTTCTTCTCTCATATTATGCCAAAGTACTGGGCGCCCACCTTTAGAACTACCAATCCTATGAATGACAGATCGAATGCCATCAATAGTTGGATTTGCCACCCCATAAACTGGAAACCCTGGAACTTCTCTGAAATTAGGTGCTCCGTCCACTCTCTCAGGTAAACTTGGGTTTTGACAACCAGGACAGTGATCACTTTTTAGAATAGTTTGACTACCAAGAACCTCTCCAGTTCTTAATGCAGCAACCAGACCAATCTCAGAAGGGCGGCCATCAGTAGATTCAGCTATCTTCTTAAGAGATGGCTTCAAACTGGAATATCCTAGCGCACCCATTGGATTTCTCCTGAGCAACCTGCTATGATAGAAGCAAAACAAAAAATGTGTTACCAGCCCAATGTTAACAGTTATGAGAAGGTCATCAATGCAATTACAATCAGCAATCCAATTGATATGCCAAAAAACCATACTGTAAGAATATATTATATTTGGAAGTTTCAGACAATCAGCAAAGAGAAACTCCAAATTCTGATCATAATTGACATCTTCCAGGAGGGCAAGTACATGGTGCCCGATTAATTAGAGCCAACACAACACAATTTGGAACAGAGAACTTTACAACCAGAGGCTAATGGCAATATAGGAACCACGGTATTGCATAAAAGACCAAGACTGTAGGAACTTCTTGATAGAATTCGTTTGAATCTAAAAGCAATAACAACACCAATGAACTATTCACTTCCAGAACAGAGGTCCGGGGGCAGATAGCCCAGTTAAACTAATGCACTGCAAATAATCACTGCTAGCTATACCCATGCCTGGCCCAAAGCAAGCACTAATGTACAATCAGTTTGCCTTACTAGGCTTGGGACAACAGACTTAATGAAGGGAAAGTCATATCAAAAGGATCAAAACAGACTTCATTATTATTAATAGTTTTACCTTCGAATAATACTGTACAGTTCTGGCCTAGCTCTCATCCAGTCAGCAAAACTGCTGTGACCAGCAGAACTAGAACTGATTACAGCCCTTTCAGAATGAATGTAAACAGCAAAACATATTAAAAAGTAGTATCTCTCTAGGTACTCTGTGAAAAAAGAGAGTGATGCCTCCCTCTTCATTTCATCTGGTTGTCGCAGAATGTTATTGCGGTAGGTGGCAATTGCCTCACGCAAGTTCTGAAATATAATCAAGGCAAGAATTAACTGAGGAAATTTTATGTAAAAAATGAAAATCTGACCCTCAAGATACATTGAAAAGAATATGTTAAGAAAAAAAGAACAAAAGGGAACTTAAAAATTATTTCCGATAGAAATACAGTTTTAGATTCACAAGGTACAGATACCTGCATTGAAGCACACTTGTCAATAACCTTGTCTACTTGTCTTTTCCCCTCAACACCACCCTGGAAGCATGTGAAACATTAGGACAGATAATACATTTTCTCGGTCTTTACAAGCAATAAAGTCAATACCAATACCTCTAACACCCGAACCAAACTTCTTATAACTGCATATTCTCCCCTGCGGATTGTATCCTCTGAGTTAGGCAAATGATCAGCAACATCAGTGGCACATGAAGAAACTCTACCAATTGAACTGTTTTGTGGAAAACCTATCACATATTAAGATGATAATTAACATTTCATTAATGGCATGGAATTTCAACTGGTACACCCTGTTGTTTGAGGTAAACCAAATTGCAATAAGAATATAATGAGTCTAGTAATAGAAATTATATCACGTTGAGCGTATATTCAATTTTCTTTCCAAGCACTGGTCCCCAATAGTCTTAAACAAGGGTTATTCAATGTAGACAATATCAACCCCAAATCCATAGAAAAGCAAAGTACCTCTCATTTAATAAATAAACTAACCACTTTCATTTTTTTTTCTTTAAATGAAAAACGTTAAGACCATATGTAAAATATGAAAGAATCCACTTTCTAGTATTGACTATTCTTAGATAAATCATGAAAAAGTACAAGAAAATTGGCAGCAAAAGTAAAGTCAGAAAAGTTGAAGGAATTAATGTAAGAAGGAGTACCAGAGTCTCCAATTCGATTAAGGTAAATCAAAGTTGCAATGACCATTCCAGTTGTGGTTCGTCCACGCCCCATTTGACAATTAAAAATTACCTCTGTATTTACGTCAGCCTGAGAAATTTTGTGAACCTAAAATCACAATGAAAGTAGCTAAGATACACGCACAGTTTCAATGAATGAAAATGAGTGTTTTATGCAAATGTTTTTTGTACCAAAGCATCAAAATCCATTTCTTTTGGTGATTTTTCATCAGTTATAGGAACACGTTCATAATCAACTAGGTATCCTCCCATTTGCAATTCCTCATACACCTTTAGCAAAGAAGACAAGTTTGATTAGTCCATAAAGAAAAACTGACATTGTAGCCTCAAGCAACCGTATTAAACAAGTTCCATCTGTACCTCTAATGGCGTCTTCACAGAATTACATGACACTGGTTCCCATTGGTCTATCATCTGACCATCTGGCAGTTCATCAGTCACAAGGATCTTATTTCCATATCTGTTAAATCAAGGTGCAGTTAAGTTTGGCTATCAAGCATGGAGGAGTTGCAGACAATAAATATGCCAATGAGTTGCATGTGGCAGACAGGAAATAAATAATGTAGAATTACATACCTTGCAGCTTCCAACAGGATGTCTTCTTTCAAACGATCTTCCATTTGCTCAACCCTTTCCCTGTTGATACCCTAACCAAGTATAAAACGCCAGAACCAGTTAGAAGGCATACCAACTACAGCTGTACCTTTAGTTATCTCAATACAACCCAAAGAAGATAATCCAAGTGGTAAAGCTAACATTAGGCAGACAGCCAACATAAAAGCTAGACATTTCACATAAACAATGACCGTTAAGCAAAAAGAACATACCAAGTTAAATCATTAATAATTTAATAAGTTTACAATAAAATACCGTGTACTCAAGGTTGGAGAATGGCCTCTCCACATCACGTAGAACAAAGGGGCGTCCATTAATGTACACAACCTGATTACAAGAAAAGGAGAAAGAAGTGAAATATTAGAAAAGATGCCATGAGTATTTTTTAGAGGATTCTTTTTATTAAAAAATGGTTATTTGTTCAGAATAAAAATTCAAAGAATGTGAAGATTGTAAATTATTAATTAAGCATGTGCAGAGTGTCTGAGTGTCAGCTACATTAGTTGGTTAGGTAGCCTGTAAAAGGGAATGCATGAAAAGGATTAGATGGCTTATGTTTATAATAGTTCAGCTAATTCCCAGTTTCTCGTCTCTGTCCTTAGAATCTCCCCTCCTCCCTCTCTCTCTCTCTTTTTCTAATTACCACTACACATCAGAATGTCAGCCAAAGCAAATTCTCAAATCTCAACAATTAGAGCATCTAATACGTGCATATTTAACTCTTAAAACTTAAAGCTAAAAATCATAAAGAATGCCAAGGGAATAATGCGTAAAGGTTTTGATAGCCTCCTTTGCTGGAAAAAGATAAGGGAAAGAAAGGCTCAAAAATCAAGAGGGGGATACATTTAGCTATTTAATAAATTGACCGGCCAAATGTCAACAACTAGTGCATGAGAGCATTAAGTATGATTGAATTAAAAAAACAAGCAAAGTGAGTAGTAACGGTCACTAGAAAACAGACATACTGGTTCCTCACGAAGGTTAATCCATAGAACTTGTGCTCTCCTCCCTCCAATTTGGGCACCAATATGCTTGAGAACATTTTGTATTCCATCAGTTGTTGGGATAGCAACACCGTGAACATGTAAGGAGTCAGCCTAGCAACAGTAATTATTAAAACAAAAAGATGTCAGCAAGTTAAGAAAATGCAACAAAACTTAACAAACAAGAGGAACAAAGATTTTAGTTTCGGGGGTGCCAATAATAAGTAGATTCCACGACTCAGATGGCTCTGAGAATCAACGGAAACAAAAGAATTGATATAATTGCATTTGAATGTTCACACAGTCATGCATAAATAAACATCGAGCCAACTAACATTCTAATAACCTAACTAAATTTAATTAATATCAGAACTGACCATGTCTGTTAAGTGCTTCTTGGTCAGATGATTAGGACGCCTAAAAAATATCGATTGAAACCAGTTTTCCCTTATATCAGAAATTCTACAAACATCAGTTGAAACCCACTTCTTAATAGGGTCGCAAATGAATCTAACAAAGCTTGGGTTTCCAAGAAGCCAAGAGCACGTAAAATAATAGTAATAGGATTTAATTCAAGACGCCGTAAACTTTTTCCGGTATTAAACCTACCAGAAGAATGAGTCCAGCTGAGGCCAATGAACACAAATGCAGTAAGCAGAAACAAGACCAAGAAAGGTTAAAAGGAGAATGATATTATTAATTATTAAATACCTGGCGATAATTGGGAGCACCTTCGATCTGAGGAGACAAGCGCTTGTTCTGGCAACCAGGAAAATGGTCACCCTTCAAAATTGTCTTCTTCCCCAAGACTGATCCTCCTCTCGCCTTCATCACCTGCTCCAGCTCTTTTGGTAACGACATATTTTTCTTTTTTCCACCTTCTAGAACCTTCACGAATCACTCTCTTTCTCACGCACAGTCCAAACAGGTGCGCATTCGTACTAATTCCGTTAAGACTTCTCTCTTTTCTTTCTTCAAATCTTCCGCAATTCAGTTTTGTTCTTGGATTGGATCATAAGCTATGAGCTCACAGCAATGAAAGAAAATCTCAGAAATGGCTGAAATGGTATGTCACATCATTCGAACGTACAAGTGATTTTTTTTCCTTTTGCGTTGTCAGCCTTCTGAAATGGTTGGAAGAAGTTGATTTGCCTTTTTCTTCTTGGCCTTGATTGTACCGGAAAAATTCTTGATTTATAGTCCCGCGGTTTTCCTGAGAGCTGACGAGTTCATGGGTCGTCGTCTTTTTTCTTCTTTTTTTTTTTTTATATTAAAAGGATGATTCATTCATTACCAGATATTACAAACTCAAAGCGTATATAGGCCATTTCTCTTCCCTTCCTTCTCTTCATGAGTAAGGAGGGAGGATGGTTAAAGAAATATTTCTCCGAGGTTATATTCTGAGTAAATTTAATAAGAGTATCAGCTTTTTTAACAAACATTTGAGTCTTAAACTCAATGTTAGCAATTCAGTCTCTATTTATAATCATTATAGCTTCTTGAATAATATCCCAATACAGGTGATCCAGTTGAAAATCTCTCAAAATCAAACTTAAAGCATTAACACAATCAGAAATAATATTAATTTTCTTGATTCCAAGATTTCAACTATAGTGAAACCCAATGATAATAGCTTTGATCTCAGCAATAGTTGTTGGCAATGATTCTATCTTTGAATAGAAACTCAAGATCCATCTTCCACTCTGCTACCTGATAATTCCTCTCATCACACTTCCTCTATGATTTAAGCACGAGGCATCAGTTTCCAAAGTGAAGGACTCAACATCTTGTTGAGGTTAATAGTTGTGTGTAGATCGATCTCTTCCTTTCAACACTGTGCTTTGCTTTATCCTAAAATCCTATAATACTTTAAAAAAGACATTGTTTGTGTTTTCCCATTTAGCAAGCTCTTCCTCTCCAAACACTTTTTTACATTTATTGACCCAAATATCCCAACATACATAAGAGAAAAGTATATCCCAAGGAATGGACTTAATATTATGGTTACCTATTTCCCTGTTAAGATTCCATGTAACCCACTCCTTGCCTTCTAATTGATTAAACCTCTCCTAAAACTCAGGAAAAACAAAAGCAAGCCATTTATTTCTAACGTGGCAACAATCACAAAGCAAATGCATTAAAGTCTCATCCCTATTACAACCATACTAGCATTTGTTATTATCTTGAATACCTCTCTGTTTACGGAGATCAGCCGTATGAACCCTGTTTTGAACAATAAGTCATAAAAAATGACTTCATTTTTTACAACACCTCAGCTTTTCATATGTGTTTTTCCATCGCTAGTTGTACCTGCAGATAAAAACATATAAGCAAATTTAATGTTAAAATTTCCATCGAGTGATGGAAGCCAGATGAAGGGGTCTGTTTCACTCCTCTCAACAAAAATTCTAGTGCAAGCTATGGTGTTGACAGTTTCTGAATCAAACCATAGTGCCAATTTCCAAATATCCTACTCCCCATTTGGTTGGATGTATTCAAAGACTTTCTCTTCCACATTACAAACAAGCATATTCTCACAATTAACTTCAGCCAAAGGTTTCCCTAAACCTATCCATAAATCCTTTCAGAACAAGATTTGCTGTCCTGTAGTGATTTGTCTTCCTAACCCATCTTTAAACTCATTCCAAATGTTAGCAATGCTACGCCAAGTTAAAGGAGCATTTTTTTTTTTATTTACTATAAGCATCTATTTCATTCCACACACACACACACTTACTCTCCATTGGATTGGATGCAATCCTTCATGGCAGAGTCGAGTCCAGGCAATCCAACGTGAGATTATGTGTAGATGTAATGATGTGCTAATCATTTTCGTGGCTTTATAAATATAAATTATTTTTAATTTTTTATTAAATTATACTTTTAATAAATTAGTTAATTATTTTTAAACTAACATTATCTTTATATTTAGTTAAAAAATATCATCTTTTTATATTTATTTTTATTTAATGGATGTCTCACTTAAAATAAAAGAATAAATAATTTATTTATTAAAAATATTTTTGGAAAAAATTATTAATTACATATTAAAAAATTAAAAATATTTATATTTTTAAAGAAGTAAGCAACTTTTAATTAATTCACATAAAATTGATTAAGCATAATTATTATGTCTAAAATTAAGAAGTTCAGATAAAAAGATCCTTATAAACATGAAAAAGAATCAGTGTTGTAAACTCAAAACTAACCATTGGGTTGTCTTGTAAAGTGATAGCATAGCTAAGTTGTACTAGATTTTTTTTTTTTTTCATTGGGCATATCCTCCTATTAGAACTAATAGTATTTAATGTATAGTTAGGTATTAAATATGGATGCCTTTTCAAGCTAAATAATACATTCTTTTTTTTTAATGAAATCAAATAGTACATTCTAAAATATTGGTTTGATATCAATAAATTTGATTATTTGTCCTAATCCATTCCCATTAGTTATTCAAAAAATTATTCTAAAGTCTCACAAAAATTGACAAATTACTCTAAAATCTCATGAAATACACAAATAAATTTAGGTAGTACTTGGGTCGAAGAATTTGAATTTGAATTTTAAATTTAAAATCTTACATTTTAAATTTCACATTTAAAATACATGTATTTGTTTAGGTGGTTTAAAAATTTTAAATGAAAAAAATAGATGAGCTAAGATTCAAAACAAAACTAAAAAATTAAGAATGTTGAATTTAGTCGACAAGAGGCGAAAATTAAAAATGAGAAAAGATACAAGATGTTTGAAATATTAATACAAAAAACACAAAAAGAATAAGATATTTGAAGTGATTAAAATTTTAAATGATAGAGTGTAAAAAGAGTTTGAAATTATAACATAATTATAGTAAGAAATGAATTTGGATTTGAATCAAATCCAAATTCATTTGTTTGAATCTAAACAAGAGACCAAATCCTTATTAATCTAAATGCACCCTTAAAGTCTTAAGTTTTTTTGGTATTGCACACCTATATACTCATATTAAAAGTAATCATGTTTGAAGCATAATTGGCCATTAAATGTGAGTAATTCTCCTCCTTTAAATACAAGTAAGATTGGAAATGGAATTACAAAAAATGTTCTACCACACTAAAAGAAAAGAAGAGTGAAAGAGGCCATTTTATGCTTATTTTTAACTCTATTAGCAAGAGTGAATTTGATATTTCGCCACACCACTAAAAGGGGGGAGGAAAAAAAACACAACCACTACAATTTCCTAATAGGGGTGTTTATGGGATGGGACGACATCAAGACACTTCTATCCTATGTCTTGTCTCGAAAAAAAACTAAGATTAAATTTTTGTCCCGATCCTATCTCAATTCTCAAAGTGGGATTAAATTTTTGTCCCATATCCCATCCCATTCCATCCCTATTAGGAATTAAGACAGGATCAGGATAAGATCGGGATATTTTGCTTCCCTGATAAATCGAACAATGTCAGAGAAATATATGGATAATAGCATTTATTAAAATTTTAAATCATATAATTTATAAAGTTTAAAATCAAAACAATACAAGTACATAAATTACAACAATTTAAAATTAATTATTGAATTATATTAATCACAACTACACACTACAAGTTATCTTTAGGTTATAAGAGCAGCAACAACAAGCAAGCTAAACACAACATCAAATCATTATTCTTCTACTTTAGTTGAAATATGCTAAGCTAATTACTCTTTTAAAAATAAAATAAGAAATATGATATACATAAAAGTTATTAAATATATAGATATAAGAATAAATTATATTAATATAATTAATATATTATAAAGAAAGATATCGCCTTGTTTACTCTATGTTATTAAAATTATTAATATAAAAAATTTTAGTTTTATATAAGAATTGCAAGTATTGAAATTATAATTGATATAATTAATATAAGTATAAATTATATTAATATAATTAATATATTTAATATATATTTTTAAAATAAAAAAATAATATATATATATATATAATATTCGGGATGGGACCAGACGTCCCAATGATAATCTCATGTCCCATCTCAAACTCTTTTCTCATCCTGTCTCACAAAGTCCTATTCCAATTGTTTTCAGGCAAGGATGAGGCCTGTCTTGATATGATCGGAATGATATCGAATCAATCAAAATATGTATAAGTTGAACATTCTTATTGCATAGCATTAGCTAGCAAACCCACTTCTTCAAAACCATCTATTAACACAAGATTACTTTTCATTGTTTGTACAATTGGAGCTCCTCTCACTGAAGAATTTCATTTTGACATACACTCACACATAAACTACAAAACGAACTCCGCATCTTTCCAGCCAAGTTCTTTACGATTCTGCAAGAGTGAGCCAATCAAAGCACGGTCTACATTCTAATCTTTTTCGATCATATCACACTTTTATTCTACTAAATATAATAATAATGCATAAAATATTTATATATTATCTAAAACATTTCTATGTGATTTTTAAGTCATACCGTTTTATTCTATTTATTATTTTATATTATCTTATAATCCTTTCCAACACACCAAACATTCATCATTTGAAATTTGGGAGACATACAAATCCAAGAGGCCATACAGTTTGTCTGATTATATGTAAGAAATATATAAGATAAGTTTTTTAATTGATACCCAAGAAATAAGATAATCATCTCAATATGAAACAGGTGCAATCATTTTAATGGAATGTGAAACACTGACAATGTTCATTGTTCAGCTACACTCACCTTTATAAAAGTCTAATAAAGAATTCTTCTCAACTATTTTTGCCCTTTTTGGTACTAGAGATCTTCTCAACTATTTTCCTTCCTTGGCTAACTTTTTTATTCTTACTATGTCCCATGATCATGGCCTGAAACCAAATCCCAAGAAATGGGTTAGATTCAGCAGACCAACTAGCTAACTGTCAAAATCTTTCTTTTCACACTTTCCCTATATAATCGGAGTGATATAATTCAGGCAAAACGGCAGTTAAACTCATAAATTTAAATTATTAATTGTTAGGTTATTACTGATTTGATAAGTTTAAAAGTTTTGTTAAACTTTAAAAATTCATAACTAAATCTAAAATTATTTTTAAATCTATTAAAGTCCTTTAAGTGATAAAAATATATTTTAATCCTTTTTTTTATTCCAAATAGTATAGTTTATTTATTTTTTTAAAAATTGCTCTGTTTATCTTACAAGATGTGCGCTATAATTGAAAAATTCATAACTCAAAATTTACATAGCCAAAAAATTTAATTTAGGAC